GGCGGGTTCTCTCTGGTGACGCTACGCCTCGTCTCAAGCGATAGAGCAGGTGCTACAGTGCTACACTAGTCGGGTAGCTGTCGAACTGAGCCTTTGTGACGGCGTAGAAGCGTGGTTCGTCGAAGAGAAGAAACTGGGCGTACCAGAGAATGGAGTCACCNTAGAAGCGTGGTTCGTCGAAGAGAAGAAACTGGGCGTACCAGAGAATGGAGTCACCAACAAACAAGTGGTCTGGTGCGATGGAGATGGAGAGGGAGAGAGAGAGACAGAGACAGAGTTGATGAGCTCACATCACAACAAAACAACAAGAAAAAAATACAGAGCAGTCGCCACCAGAAAAGTTGACGAGAGGAAACGTGTAGATCTTTTTGTATTGTAAATGATTTACAGAGGACTGCATTTTTCCTCTCAAATATTCGTCTCTTGTCGCCATCACAGATGAGGTGTCGGTCTCTTCACCTGACACAGCTGATTAGAGCCACCCCAACCATTCTTCGCCTGCTTATCCGGCCAATCTATCGCTGAATCCGGATCGTCTGAGGATTCAAATGCAGAAGAATGGCACAAGCACTCATCCCCGAGCTGATTGACAGCCAGCGTGTCCTCTACAAGTGCACTTGTGGATTGCTCAAGACCATTCATCGGATCTACTTTTGCCGGTACTGCAATGAGATTCGCTGTCGAGATTGCGTCTGCCATGAGGTATTTACCTTTACTTTGTAAATCAATTTCTATTTGATTTGAATCGGTCATTTTCTATTTTTTAAGGTCGACTCGCAATTTTGCCAACAGTGTCTAGAGTATATTCCCTCGTTGGATGCAAAACTAAAGAGAAACAAGTAAGCTGTGTGTCACGTTTCAGCTCAGCAGCACTAAAACGTTTTTATTGTAGGTGTGCTCAGTGTTATCAGTGCCCTTCATGTCACAACACCTTGGCATCCCGACTTCAGCTGGTTCAGTTGCCACACCCTACTGATCCTCAGCAAATTGTCACCAGAAAGCTCTCCTACTACTGTTGCTATTTTTGTCGCTGGACTTCTCGAGACATTGGTTTGCCTGATCAGAGTACCTGTAAGTTGTTTGTGCTAATCAATGTGATTTGTTTAGTAACTTAATTTTACATTTTTTGAAACAGCGGGAAGCAACTTTTCTGAACCTGAAACTCCGAACGTTNACCTTGGCATCCCGACTTCAGCTGGTTCAGTTGCCACACCCTACTGATCCGCAGCAAATTGTCACCAGAAAGCTTTCCTACTACTGTTGCTATTTTTGTCGCTGGACTTCCCGAGACATTGGTTTGCCGGATCAGAGTACCTGTAAGTTGTTTGTGCTAATCATTGTGATTTGTTTAGTAACTTAATTTTACATTTTTTGAAACAGCGGGAAGCAACTTTTCTGAACCTGAAACTCCGAACGCCAAGCGTTTAGACTCGCTGTTTGAGTATTACCGCATCCTCTCACACAAAGAGAAAAATGAAAAAGAAAAGAAGAAAATCAATCCTCGAAATGCAATCTTTCTCCTCGACAAATATGGAATCACTTCTGCTTTGTCACCAAAAGTGACCGCCACTTTACGAGCTAGAATGGCTCGAAGTAGCTCTGGAATGTCACTTTCAGACAAGTCATTTCCTGAGTTGGAAGGCTTCAAGCCAGCAACGGCTTTTGGGGAAGAGGAAATTGAGAAAATGGAAAAGTTGAATTTGCAGGACTATTACGGTGACCTTAGCACAGACGCCGAGGAAGAGATCGAGGTATCAAATAAGAACTCATTGAAGCAGATAATTCAGCAAATTGAGAACCAACCTGTCGAATGTAAAGATTTATTTCCAACCAGCCAGATGCTCGTTGTGAAGCGATCTTTGCGTTGCAAAACTTGCGAGCACAATCTCTCAAAACCCGAGTACAATCCATCGTTGGTCAAGTTTAAGATTCAGCTCTCCGCCTACTATCATATTCCCGAGTTACGAATCCTCAAGTTGCCTTCACTTAAGATGGGCAACACCACTCGCGTCGAACTGACCATTACTAATCCTACGCAGTATCTGCTGAATGTGACACTGCTTCCAGTGGACATTCACCTCAACGCTACGGCTGATCTCGTTCTGCCCAACACTGTCCTTCAACTGACACCGAAGGATGACACTGGCGACATTGTCGATTTTGATTCCTCCGCATCCAAATTCAATGATGATCCAAAGTATGATCTAGCGCATTTCAAACACATTCTGATGTAATCATTTAAATCCCTTTTCAGTGTCATCTCGCTACGACAAGGAAACAAGCTGGGCATTTACCTCTTTGTGACGCCCACCAAAGGAGAGGTTGACTGTGTGGTGGAGTTTAGAATGAAGCACGATTATGTCTACACAATACCGACGCCTTTGAATCCGCAGCACGAATTTGGCGATAAGCAGCAGCCGTCGAAGGAGGTCAAATGGATAACGCATTCAATCAGAGTGAATTTGGGCAACATTTCCCTTTAATGGAAATTTATATGTGAACTTATTCAATCATGTATTTTACAATTCTTGATGAAGACAAATTAAACCAAAATGATTTTCATAACTTTCTAAAGGAATGCTATTCGTTTTGAATGAAAGGATTTGCAATCATTTCCATTCCATCAACAGGGCAGATGGCGATGATGGTCGTTCCTCGACATACGACCAAGCCGAGTTGTCTCGAGTCATCGGTTACCTTACAGGGATCATCGGCATCTACAACAAATGGGATATTTGCTTGTTATTTAGATCTTTCCTGATCCAATAGACAGATTTACCTCGCAAATATTCGGTAGTGCTATCAATCACGATGTTCAGCAGAGTGTCGTAGCCTTTCAATACTCCCGTTGCTGAGTGTGTGAATGAACGAAGTTAAAATTAAACTTATCAGAGTTGCAAACATCAATGTGTTTACCTTCACGACCACCTTGGAACTTTACGCGAATCGGCTTGTCCAGGTATTTTCCCAGGTCGACAATTGATTCCTTCTTCTTCTTATCGCCCTGATTGGGCTTGTCACCGCCTGATGCCTGCATAAAAAAACAGCGTGAGCAAAGTATTCATTCAGCAAACAATAACCAGCTTACCATGTTTATTTCAAATGCAGTAAATTCCGATTTGAAAGAAGCGATGAAAGATAGACAACAACAAAAATGTGCCCGGCAGAAAACTGTTTGGCAGCCAAACTTTGGCTCGCGTGGTTGCAGTGGCGGTCTAATGTAATTAGTGTGTTCAGAAAAAGTGTACAGCGCATTTCAAAATTCACAGATTTGGTCAAAAAGAATTTTATTTTGTTGTCTTATCGTTACGAATAAACTGAGTACATGATCAGTCATCATTCTTTCGACTGGCCAGCTGTTTGCTGTTTCTCTCCGGCAGTGCTGTTTGCCGCCACCGGCCACTGGTCACCTCGCCAATGGACCAGCCGTATTGAAGCGGCATTGTGTGCTGTCCAGGTGCATTCAACTCGAATGCGGCGTGAATTGGCCAGTTTGGATCGTCCAGTGAAATGCGAGCTAGGAATATCAGCTGAGCTCTTTTGTCAACGAGAATGCTCTCAGCAAACTGCGGAGATATGATTCCACCAACTGCTCCAGTAGGAATGTCTGCCTTTCGCTGTATGGTCTCCGCCATTGAAATCTGGTCCACATTATTGTAGGCGAAATAATTCTTTGCCTTGTCTACATTTCCACCCGAGCTGCAGTCAACCAGATGCACTCCGAGCTGTTTCAAAATCTTACTTAGCTCAACTGATTGCTCCAAGTCCCAGCCTTCACCTTCAGGAAGGTAGTCGGTGCAAGAAATTCTAACAAAGAGAGGAAAGTCTTCTGGCAGAACCGACTTGACGTCTCTAACCAGTTCAACTGCCAATCGCGTTCTTCCCTCAAATGTACCTCCGTACTCATCGGTTCGCTTGTTGGAGTAGGGCGACAAGAAGGAGTGCACCAGATAGCCGTGAGCAAAGTGAAGCTCAATGACCTGAAAGCCCGCTTCAATGGCTCGCTTTGTGGCGGCAACAAAGGCTCGGCGAACAGCGGCTATGTCTTCAAGTGAGGCCTCCTTCGGCACTCGGTCATTGCCTGCGCCAAATGCTGTGGTGATTAAAAATTGTGGTTACTACTGGTTTACACGTGACACCTCAAAACTCACCAATTGGACTGGGACCGATGATGTCATCCCAGCCGCCCTGGTCGACTGGCAGAGCATCTCGGCTGATGTACGGCGGAAAGGTGCTTCCCTTGCGTCCTGAATGAGCCAGCTGAATAGCTGGAATGCAGTTCTGCGTCTTGATGAACTGGCAGATTCGCTTCATTGGCTGCATGTGCTCATCCTTCCAGATGCCCGGACAGAACTGACTGATTCGACCTCTTTCCTCTACAGCAGTCGCCTCCATCATCACCAGAGCAGCACCACCAATAGCTCTTGCCCCCAGGTGGACAAGGTGCCAGTCGGTAACGAAGCCATCCTCACAGGAGTACTGACACATCGGCGAAATGCAGATGCGATTCTTCAGCGTCACATTTCCAATGCGAAGTGGAGTGAAGAGAAGTGGCTGTTCAGCTTTTGCAGTGTGCACCATATTTTCACGGTAGTTCTTGAGAACTGTTCTGTTTGGGAGCAATTTAACTGTGTGACTGCAAACTGTCGATCAGCTGCTGGGTAGTATCCACAGAAGTGAAGACCACATGTGATGTGCGCATGGAAAGAGGAGCCACTTTATACAGCTCACTCCAATCGACGCTGCATAATGACTTATCAGCAGACAGCACAGACTCCTCCTGATGCCTGAGGCAGTTCAATTTGTACAATGTCACACTGTCTGTACTGCAATGTCATTTTATTCGCCACCAGTAAGTGCACTACTAGTACATTAGCATTTCGTTAAAACTCTGAAGTTTTATTGAGTCCAGAACTGGTCTTCCTCAATGCCCACCATTTGGCAGCTCACAGACCATAACCGTTTTGCTGCCTGGTCGTCTTTTGATTCTCTGAAAATGCATTCATCGCGTTTGCAATTGCTGTTGAAAAGAGTTAGAAAAATTGCTGTTATTGGAAATTAGTTATCCCGATTACCTGTAATAATGACCAGACTGATCAACCAGCGAGAGTTCTAATGCACAGTAAAGAGTTGTCTGTGTGCCCGTTTTGATGTCCAAGTTGAAGAGTGTCCCAATGAGATCAAAGATCACCCGGCNATTGCTGTTATTGGAAATTAGTTATCCCGATTACCTGTAATAATGACCAGACTGATCAACCAGCGAGAGATCTAATGCACAGTAAAGAGTTGTCTGTGTGCCTGCTTTGATGTCCAAGTTGAAGAGTGTCCCAATGAGATCAAAGATCACCCTNAAATTAGTTATCCCGATTACCTGTAATAATGACCAGACTGATCAACCAGCAAAGGCTCTAATGCACAGTAAAGAGTTGTCTGTGTGCCCGTTTTGATGTCCAAGTTGAAGAGTGTTCCGATGAGATCAAAGATCACCCGGCGACCTCCAGTGACATGTCTGGTCAGGTTGGTGTTGATGGTGCCCGGATTGAGTGCGTAGCTCTTCACTGACCGATACTTGGGCTGAAGTCGCAGCTGTCGTGCCAGTTCTCTGCTGAAGAGAACATTTGCCATTTTACTCTGACAGTACGCCTCCACTGGATCGTAGCTGCCCGGTTTCTCAAAGTTAATGTCATCGAAGAAGATTTGACCACGAACATGATGCACCGAACTGACGTTGAGAATGCGTCCATCAGAGGAGTTTGCCAACAGCGGCAGCAGTCTTTGTGTCAGCAAAAAGTGCCCTGCAATCAGCGGTTTGATTATAACTCAGTAGGCAACTAATACCCATAAACACACAAACCTAAGTGATTGGTGGCAAATTGCAGTTCAAAGTTGTCTGCCGATTTACTGGCTGGAGTCATCATCACGCCTGCATTGTTCACCAGAATGTCCACTGTTTTCACCTGTTTAATCAGTTGGTCGGCAAATCGGTTCACCGATGCGAGTGAGGCCAAATCGAGCTGCATCACCTCCAGTGAGGCTTCTGGGTGGCGCCGTTTTATGTCGTTCACTGCCTGTCGACCACTGCTTTCACTGCGGCAGCACATGATTACCTGAAAGTGTGTGATCAGAAGGTAATGATGTGAGGTGATCAACGACAACACTGTGTTTCAGTACCTTGGCACCTCGTCGACTGAGCTCCATAGCAGTGTACTTTCCAATGCCCGAGTTGGCGCCCGTAATAATCACGCATTTGCCGTCGATTCGATTTTTTTTCGTGTAATACCTCCGGCCTAGACCAATCCAGCGGAGAACGTTACCTCCAAACTCAACGACAAACAGTAGTGCAGTCAGAGACTCAACCCAAATTCGTCTCAACAGTGCCATAATTGCAAGTGAAGATGATAATGATGATGATGATGATCAGTACTTTACATCGAAGACTGCTTGCCTGCAATGAAAGCGCTAAATGTATCTTTTTGAATGGCCTTTTTAGCCGTCTGCGGTTAACATTGAAGAAAGAGAGAGAGATGACAATGTCATTCCACTTATAACCCCAGGATTATCGATGGCCGCATCAAATGGTGTCTGTACTTTCGCGCCACAGACACCACGGTGTTATTGCCAGTCCGCCAGTCAGTGAATCAGCGTGGCCAGCGACCGTTCTGGCAGCTGCCTCCTCGGTAGTTGCAGTGTGTGCCTTTATCCTTTTTCGGTGTCTCCATTTGGTCGGTATTATATAGAGCACCGGCGAGTCATGGAAGCCAGCACTCTTTGCCGGTACTGCTGCAGACACTGCGGTCTGCAAGGACAGCTATCGACAACGGCGACGACTACGGTAGCGGTAAACGGCTCAATCGACAGACACTCACTCTCCACTGACAGACTNAGAGCACCGGCGAGTCATGGAAGCCAGCACTCTTTGCCGGTACTGCTGCAGACACTGCGGTCTGCACGGACAGCTATTGACAACTGCGACGACTACGGTAGCGGTAAACGGCTCAATCGACAGACACTCACTCTCCACTGACAGACTCTGACGCCCAGGAAGACTGCAGGAAGAGTGAGGTGCCAGCGTCTCGGAGCCATGCACACCGCTGCAGTTCATTGCCGTCGTCGGTGCTGACCACGCTCAGCAAGAATCTTATTTTCACTGGAGATTACCACCGTCAAGCCGATAGTCCTCCTTGACATCTGAATACCTTTCTTATGTCAAGTCAAACACGGTAAGTCTATGTTTTTAGCTTCTTGTTGTTTCAAATTACATCTACAAACAATGAAATTAGAGTAAAATGTGAACAAGTTATCATNGACATCTGAATACCTTTCTTATGTCACCTGATTCCTCAAACTTAGGCACTGCAATACCGCTCATCGCTGTCCAACGTTAGCAAGTCAAGTCAAACACGGTAAGTCTATGTTTTTAGCTTCTTGTTGTTTCAAATTACATCTACAAGCAATGAAATTAGAGTAAAATGTGAACAAGTTATCAATCAGTAATTGATGTGCAAACATTAGATTAAATAGGCAGAATGCATTGCACGAATGGATTGGTCCAAATCAGGGCGTTCACAAACACTGCCTGTTCTCTAGCTGGAAAGTGTTTGGCGCCAGATTTGTTGGGTGCAGTGTGCCTTCCAGTGTGACCAATCAATCAATTGTCGACCAATCATCGCTTCGCAACCGTTATTTCTGTTTGTCTGTTTTTTTCTCTTTAGTTTGCCACTCTTTCTGGCACATTGTCAAAACATATAATGTGGTCATGGCTACACTGTCCTACACATTCTGTTTATCCACAAATGCTCATTTAAGTAATTACTTTAGATGAAAACGAGGCGTTTAGGTGGAAACAAATAGAAATAGTTGCGATATATCTCAATAAATAATGCACTGAAATGTTGGCCAATTTGTAAGGTATTAAAGGGAAGCACCTGGCCTGTTGTGCCAGTTTTTATTAGTAAACACATTTCAAATGTACTGATTCATCTGCAGTTTTAAGCTCAGGAACACACATTTGTACTGCGGGCTAGGCAACAGGTTTTGGGTTTATTTCGAAATTAGATTTAGTATTGAACGGCAACTGTCTCTGTTTGATTTTTTTAAATGTCATTTCATCAAGTTTTCATTTTTTAAACGATGTAATGCTTTGAAATAACCGTTTTTCTTACAGATTTTTGCTACAAACCACAAACCAAAGACATGTTGCGATATGCCCGACACATCTCAGGCCATCTTACAGCGCTCTATGATGATACATTCAAGTCAGGAGGTAAATGAAATTCTGTTTTTTCTATTGTTCTCAGCTAAACTGTTGATCAGATCCGCGAGTAGAGCTATGGCCGCTGATGGCCAGTCCGATGCCGACGATTGGCCTGTGTCTGGCGTACGTGTGTCTGGTCAAGTGGGCCGGACCGTGTTTAATGAAACGCCGACAGCCTTTCAACATTCGAACTGTCATGGTCGTCTACAACTTCGCCATGGTTCTCCTGAGCCTGTATCTTTTTGTGAAGTTGGGCATTTACGGATGGTTTGGCAGCTACAATTACCGCTGCCAGCCAGTCGACTACAGCCAGGAGTCCATTGAGGTAAAGGAAACCAGGCGTTTCAGAGTTTTTACTACAACTTTTTCTTCTTTCATCAGATGGCCAGCATTTGCTGGCTATACTTTTTTAGTAAGTTTTTGGAATTTCTCGACACCTTCTTCTTTGTGGCTCGAAAAAAGTTTTCGCACGTTTCCACTTTGCACGTGATCCACCACAGCGTTATGCCCATAAGCACTTGGTTCGGTGTCAAGTTTACACCAGGTAAGGAAAACAAACTACCTGTTTTAATTGTCGTAATCCTGGTTTGTATTCTTTGCAGGTGGACACAGCACCTTCTTTGCATTCATAAACTCCTTCGTTCACATCATTTTGTACGTGTACTACGGAGTCTCTGCTATGGGACCACAAATGACGGGTTATCTCTCGCGGTGGAAGCGCTACATAACGGTCATTCAAATGGTGCAGTTCATCGCCATCTTTGTGCACTCCTTTCAGCTGCTCTTCAACAGAGAGTGCGACTACCCTCGTGGATTTATGTGGTGGATTGGCTTCCATGCTGTACTCTTCTGGTTCCTCTTTTATGACTTCTACAAGAACGCCTACAGCAAATCAAA